CTGCCGCCGCCGCCGCCGCCGCTGCTACCGCCCTCCCTCGCCGTCTCCCGCATCAAACTTCAGGAGCCGAAAAAAAACCTTCCGGGCGGTCGGGCAGACGGCAAAACGTACCCAGCATCTACATCGGACGCCGCCCTTCCAACGAAGGCAGGCATCCCGCGTCCGTCTTACCTAGGGGGAGTTTTTCCAGCCCTGCGCCGCTGCCGGGGCTCGGGCAAGGCTCGCCGGCGCTCCGCTCACCGCCTCATTCCAATATGGCACGGTCGGCCCAAGCGCATGCGCCCGCCGTCTCTCTCCCCCGATCCCCTCCCCTCGCTTCTGGCTTTTTGGGCGCTCGCTGCACACTCCCTCGCGCTCGGACACGCGGAACCGTGGCGCCGGCCGGGGACGGGGCCCCTCGGTCTCCGGGCTCCTTTCCACACCCTTCCCGCCCACCCGGGGCCTGAAGCCAAAAAATAAAACTTGAGCCTCTCCTTGACTTTGTGCGCCGAGAGGCGGCGCGAGCCTCCGCCCGTCGCAGCGCCACCCTGTCCCCGAGGATTTCCCGCGGGGCGCGCACCTGCCTCAAGTTATTCGGCGCGCAATTGTGAAGGTGGCGGCCTCGCCGGGCTCGAAGCGGAGAAGGGAGGAAGAACGGGGAGAATGAAAAAGGAGCTTTAAAAAAAAAGAAAAGAAAGAAACCCCCCCCTCCCCTTTCCGCCACCGCTCGGCGTGCTGGAATGAAGGCAACCGGGGGGTTTGAGGGAAAAGCAGGCAGGCGCTCGGTCAGCTCGGCTCCTCCATCCATACTTGCAGAGCCATGAACAACTTAAGCCTGTTTATTTCTACTGAAACTGGCTCACTCCGGATCGACCAATACCCGGCCGAAAACGTTGTATAGTGCGCGGTCTGGCCGTCTCCCTCGATTGCCAAGTTAAATGTTGCTCGGAGTACTCCGACTTCCTTCCCGTCGTCTTCTCCCCACCAGCACCACCATCACCCCGTGCCCCCCCCCCGGTTTTGTTGGCCCCCCCCCCGCCCCCCCCTGGGCCCCCCCCGCTCCCCCCCCCCCCCCGTTTTTTTTTTTCCCCCCCCCCCCCCCCCCCCCTCTCTGGTCTCGCTTCCACTTTCGCAAGCAATCCGCTCCGGATTCTGGAGCCATTTGCAGCTCTCCCCCCCCCCCCCCTCCCCCCCCCCCCCCCCCCACCCAGGACGGCGGGAAGCGCGGCCCAAGTGCGTGCTCGCATTGGAAGGGGATGGCGGCAAAGGAGACGGCAGGGCGGCTGCGGCTGCGAAGGCATTGGAAAGCGAGATGAATAATCCCGCCGCCGCCCCCCCTCCCCGCGCCGAAATTAAAATGAAACAAAATGAGATGGGGAAAAGGAAAGGATTGTGCAACATCGAGAACCTCATGACCACGCGCCTGTGCAATCAGAGAAGAGTAATAAAAGCGAGCGAGTTTCACGCAGCTTAAAGGCGACAGGAGGCGAAAGAGGGACAGCGATTTTGCTGCCAGCGAACTGGAGCCTTGCAAGAACCCCAATTTGGAGAAAGGGGTGGAGAATGGGATCTTATTTCCAGGACACTCTCTCTCTCTCTCCCCCCCCCCCCCCCCCATCAGCCATCGCCCATCCATACGGCTGGACTTTTGCGTAGGCATGATCTCTGCAGCTGGCGTTCACTGTCGAATTACCCTCCTTTCGCCGTTCTTTTTGAAAGAGGACTTGCTTCGTTACACGTTTTAACAGCTCTCTTGAAAGGTATCGGGATTATTTTAAACCTTGAACTCATTCCACAGGCTGCTGCACGCCGCCTATTCCGCGCGTTTGCAGACACCAGTTGACAGCACACGGAAACCACCGGTCAGCGTGCCGAAAAGTCACATGGAACTCGAGGTGGTCGCTTTCGGGACGGCAGCGAAGGGATGCGCCAAGAAATATAAGAGACCAAACATTGCGAGATCTCCGGACGAGAAGAATGCCCGCAGAGAACGGAGGCGAATAGAAATAAAATCCAGGCGAAGGAAACTGTCGCCATGCGGTTCAGCTGCGCTTTTCCAGACAGGCGGGGGATTCAGGTCGAGCAGCCAGGAATTCCTCCGCTGCTTCCATTGAAAATGCTGGGCCGATTCAGCTGCTGGTGGCAGATGCAGCAAGGGGACTTTCTAGTTTTCTTTTCGGTGGTTGTGCGAAGAGGGGAGGGGCGACGGGCCAGGCTATCTCGGTCGTTTGGTAGTTGTGTAGACACGATGTGTTTCTAGGTTGAATGCAAAAATGCTCTGATCAGATTTACTGCTCGTTTCAAATTGTGCTCTTTTATGTAGCATCTTCGATTGTTTACCAAAGATACTTTCATAGGGGTGATTACGCTAGGGGTATTTGGTATTCTAGTAGTAATCCATCTTAATAGGCATTTGGATCGAATACACTTCTGTTTTACAAGACCGACAGTTTATTGGTTCTTCCGATACGGGTTTTTCCTCAGCATATGTATAAAACATCCAAGTCAGCTGCAGGGTGTATACAGTGACATTTTCTGCCTACAGCAGGGGAGGATAGACGAGATGAGCAACTTTACTGAGAAAATAAAATATCTAGTCCGACCACTAGGGGGTGGTCCCTCCATAGGCTTTCTAAGTAGAAGTACTGGATGAAGCATCCTGGAATGTGGAATTCGTTAATGTAATCTTGGAAGTAAATTTCCTTGGGACAACATCCACCTTGCCCCTCCATAAACTCATGGGAATTAAATTCAGCACATGCATCATACCTTAAAACTAGTTTTAAAAATTGTTACTTGACCAAAGACCTTTTAGAGCAATCATAACCTACAAAATTCAATACTCTCTTCCTAAATAAGACTACAACCTCCCAATGACAAAGGAGGGTTATCACATATTAAAAAGCTGCACTCTATTTTCATTACTTTTTCTTAATATTTTAAAGAAATAAAAGTAATTAAATGAAAAAATTATAATAAAATGGGAAATAAACTTCATTATTTCTTAAAAGTATATCATCCTTGGATCTTTCTTGAAATTATATCACTCTCTTTCCAACTATTTGAAAATGGATTTTCTATCAGCCTTGTCTGTTACATGATGGAAAATAAGACTGCACTTGTTTAAGCAAAAGTTAATTCTGAAGAAGGAATATAACTGGAATACTAATTCCTTTCTAACATAATGTGGATTGACTTTGACAGCAACTGTGATTTGCAAAATAGTAGGAAAAAAATATGTTGAATCACATTGCCCTTAAACTTTATTTATACAAATATGATGTAGGGCAGATTTCTTTCCTGTTGTTATACTGCAGATGCCCAGTTGGATTCTTCATTCTCTTTTCTTTTCATTAATAATGAGCAATTTCAGCCTCTCCAATAAAAATGAACACAAAGATTCTGGAAGTGCACCAAATACTCTTTTTTTTTTTTCCAGAGCTGTGAAGAGCTAATTTTGTAACAGTTGATCAGCAGACGTAATTATTTTAAGTGTCTTGTTTCTCTTAACTCTCAGGTCTTACATACACAGGATAATAGAATACCCATAGCAACTATGATCTTTAACAGAGCTTTTTGTTTGTTTTTCCACGCACAGTCAATATTTTAGATTACAAAGCAGCAGGATACTTCTAGTATTCTTCAAGGAAGTTTTTTTCAAGAGTTTCAAATATAAATAATGGTTCTTAAAAATAAGCTTATAGCATGTGGGTGGACTGTATATACTATTCTGAGATCTTCACACCATTATTTGTGTAACACTTGAGAAATGGGGGAACTTATTTCCCTAGTACCACCAGTACCCAGGAGAATCTCACCTTATGACTTTTTACTACATCATTATCACTGCTTGAAAGCCTATGAATGCTGAATGAGTAGGATCAGTTACAGTCTGCAGTTATCCCACATGTTCATGGATTTATTTTAAAAAGTTAGTCTTTTACTGAAGCCAATGTGGTTTCTTCAGCTCTCCAAAAGGATTACCATCTCAAGGAATAATCTTCTCAACTTGTATCATGTTGGGCACAACAGAGCACACTGAGCCCAACAATCATCTTAACCAAGGATGTGGCATTACATTGGCTTCTTAGTTGTACCACAGAAGTCAGCTGGGACTGACAAATGCATGAAAGTGATGTATGTCAAGAATTCAGCCAATACAATTTAATTGCAAATTAACATTTGGATACAGTATCCCCCAATCCAGCATGCTCCAGATGTGTTAAGCGATTGCAATGAATAGGCAATGTGACCATCCTTTCTGCAATTATGGAAATTAAAGCTGCAGCTGATCTGATTGGATAAGGTTGTTCTAATGTAGAATAATGCCACATAATGCGGTAAAATTTCTAACTTCATGATCATTTTAACTGCTAGTCTATTAGAACATTTGGTTAGTGGAACAAGAAGAAGATGCAAACAACATGCTGGCTTGATAACATCAATACTGATACAAAGATGTGAATCCAACAACTGAAAGAAACTGCTTGACAAGGTAGCATGGAGAGCACTTGCCTATAACATTGCCAAGAGTCAGACACAACTGAATGGTTACAACAACAACTAGAACATCTAAGGCCCAGGTGCCTAGGAAATGTTTGATTGAAACGTTGGATTGATAAAGACTTCTTTCATAGAGGATAGGAAGCATGTGCAATCAAAGATAGCTTCATTATATGAGATCATCATATTGCACAGCTGCTAAGAACAAGACTGACAGTATGATTCCGTGTTCCATTTTATTCTATTGTGAGGTGCTATACTGAATTTGCTAAGCTAGAACTATCTTGCTAGTTTCTGGAGACTGCTTTAACCATGAAGTATGCCAATACCTCTGATGCTGAAGTGGAGAGACAGAATTAGATCATCAAAGCAGTGACTAGGGAATTGGACTGAAACTAAGAAATGCAGGGTCGGGTTGATCCTTAGTCAAGGAAACTGGATGATTTAGGGCATTCACTACTCTTAGTTCAATTTACTTTACAAGATTATTGTAAAATAAAATAACTGAGGAGGACCTTCTGGATAAAAGATGAGATATGTAAAAAATAAATAAATATTGAAATCCAGAGAAGTCACTCCAGATGCAAGATATTATAGCTATTCCTGCCATGCAAATAGTGCCTGCCTGCCAAGGAGTTCCAACAGAAAAATCAGCAAATTAGTTATTTATTTTATAAAAGTTAGATTGTATAAAATATATAAATCTAACCATGCATACACTATTATATATAATACATGATAAGCTTTTATTCAGTATGTGACTAGGATAAATCTAATGC